AGCGACTTGGGAGATTCACACACCTTATTGCACCCCATAGTGCCCTAACAGATAAAATGCTGTTAGGTGGGCATTTCCACCTTGCAAACTGGGGTCAAATGACTAGAAATTGGCAGATTTCACTAGAAGCAGCGTGGGGTTCTGTTAGCTGATATTCCAGTTATTTTTTTCCTTTTTTATTTTTTTAATATTCTTTTTCCTGCTTCCTTTCCTTACGAGAACCACCTCCGACCCGAGCGTGATAGCAGTCTAGGAGCTCTCCAAGGGGCTGCGGGAGATTCCCTTTTGCTGTCGATTTGCAAATCGCGGTTGGAGAACTCCCTGGAAATGATGCTCTCCTTTAAGGAGGGCTTAATTTGGGGAAGTTGGGCAGCCGCTCCTGCCAGTCAGACGATGTGACAGCAAAGGCCGAGGAGCTGCTGTGACACTCGGGTGAGCGGAGAGGAGCCGGCGGGGACATGGCTGAGGACCACGGAGCTGCCAGCGCTTTGTAGCTTTGCGAGGCGGGCAGGGAGGAAGACGAGGTCCTGGCTGGGAAGAGGAAGAGCATCAGGAGCCGCCGTGAGCAGCAGTCCCAGCCGCGTTCCCATGTGCAGCCGTGCGGAGCGGCTCTCCCAAAGCGCCCAGATGTGGGATGCGGGATGCACGCTCGGAGCAGTCTGGGCACGCCATCTAGCGAAGGGCCAGCGCCCGCCCGGCCGCCCTCCGACACCCGGGCCACGTCTGTGCCATCGGGGAGACACTTCGCCCGTTTTCCACCCTTACAGAGTCCTCTTCATCACAAAGACATTTAGAAGCACAAAAGGCAGCCAGTTTTGGGAGGGCTGTGCTAAATCTTTCTGTGCCTTGCCATTTATTTCAAGTTTTTTTTTTTTTTTTTTTTTTTTTTGGACTGGTACCAATTTAATTCTTGCATTTGTGAACCCAAATCTCAACTACCCCTAAGAACCTCATTTTCAGAGTGGATACAAAGCATTTTTGGGGAGAGAGAAAAAAAAAAAACTCCAAATGGTTTACATACACCTGAAACTAAACCTGAGTGACCTGAGTCACTCAGACAGCAGCATTACATTAATTACTATTACAAAATGTAGATACTTAACCCTGCCTGCGGAGAGGAAGTCTAAACACAAGGACATGCGTGTCTTCCCTCCACACGTCACCCTCATTTTGAAGTCCAGCCCCAGAGCACATTAGTCCCCAAATCCTGTGGCTAAGGAGAGGGCGGAGGGATTTTCCTGTGATAAGGGCACGCTAGATTTAAAGGTAACCATAAAAGCTCTCTGCTTTTCAGAGCCTCATGTATAGACTGCCCTGGAGGTCAGGGTGGGCTGGCATCATTTTCGCAGAGAAATGTGTTTGAGCTGGAGGCAGGTTGCTAATGACTGGGAGTTTACATAGAGCAAACACTGAAAACTGCCTAGCGAGGAGACGTTCCCTGGGAAGATGAAGGGTCCTTAGTGATTTCAAGTCTACTCCCACCAATGCAAAGCAAGGTGCTGAGAAACTGAAGCGTGACACGGTCCCCAGGCATGCGGTTTGCTCAGTCCTGCAAAGTTAATGAGAGAGAGAAAAGGGATGGGGTGGGAAAGAGAGAGAGGGGGAAGTGAAACATGCTGCTTTTCTTATTTCCTTAGGATCAAACCTAGAGGTTGGGGGGAAATCTTGTGATTTGAGTAGGCTGCACAGACTCTCGGCTTTACTGAGTAACAAGCTGCAATTCCCACTTTAATTTGGTAAAACGTCACTCAAGACTTTTTAAACTCTTGTCGCTTATCTCCACGTTGCAATTCAGCCCCTTCCAGAAGCTTTCCTTGGGATGGAGCCTGAAGATCTCCTTTAAGCAACCATCTGAAAAATGCGGTTAGCGAAGGAACTTTGATTACTCACATGCTGGAGTTAAGACCAAAGTAGGAGGGAAGGAAGGAGAATCCAGAGCCTCTCCCAGCACGCACAAGAGACTTGACATCTTGAACTGCTGGCTGCAGCATCCACCAAGACATAAATCAGGCCATTCATGAAGGGGCCGGGGCTGCCAGGATACATAAAGAGAAATCCTAGACGGAAAGAGGCAAATCTGAATTAGATCCATCTCTCGCATAGCAGAAATCCTTTACGCCAGTTAGATGAGAGAAACTGGTGTTTGAAAACCACAGAAGGTTTGGCAAGTGCAGAATTTTACATGCTAATGAGCCCCCAAAGAATTTTGACCTGTGAAGGATATTTAACTACCGAGAAAGATTTATATCCAGTATTACACAAAAATGGAAGCGAGCACAGAGTACAGGGAATTAGAAACATGCTACAAACATCCTCCTGTTCACATCAGCGTTGGGGGAAAAAAAGGAAAAAAAAAGCCTTAAGAAAATACCAGGAACACTTTTCAATACATAAGTAATGAGAAATGTATGATTCCCTAGCCAAGGAAATTGTTAAGTATGGTCTGTCACTGCTTGTATTAAGTACCTAACAGCCTTATCACTACAAAATACTGTAATGGGCTTTGTACAGAGGCTTCCTGCCCTGGAGAGCTTGGAATCTACCTACTCATAAGCTCCAGGGAAGTTTATGTAACTGGCCCTGAGACACAAGAACCATCCAAGCTGTTATTAAAAGAGCCACCATTCACTGAGCACTGATTTGTCAAGTTGTGTCAATGACACAACCACAAGACTCTCCATCCTCCTTCCCCCCTCCCACTGTACATTAATACTTTTTTAAAGACCTGGATTTCATGAAGTCAAAAATCTCCGGAGTTTCTCGGCTAGTTGACTTCATACCCAAACTACCAGTCTAGTGTAAAAGCAAATAACTTCTATTGAGTGAGATTGCCGTGAAACATAAAGGATTCTTTATCATTAGTGAAGCTAGCAACCAGTCCTTCTATATATACTTTTACACCACGTAGATAGTCTCATCTGTAGTAACAGGAGACTAGAATTTATCCTATGTCTGCCATACTAAAGCAGGCTGATCAGGCGCTCAACTTCATTATTTACACCACTTTATTCTCCCCTTACATCCAGGCAAGAGGCCCAAACCATATTTTTTCCTGAAAGACCAACAATAACTAGATATAATTGTTCTAATAAAAAACGTAAGGTTTCCTTTGTACAATCAATCCATCTCAGTGAAGAAAACCCTGCAGCCACGATTGCCTCTGTCCCTGGGGCATGCGAGGCACGTAGCTATGATCAAACCTGGGGCTGAATAAGGGGGGCAGTTTAAGTTCACCCTAAATTCTCTCCTAGTTTGTTTTACCACAGAGCTGCACAACAACCCTATTTACTCCAAATTAGTCCATCATTAAAGGAAGTTTTAAAGCAAAATCTTAGGCTCTGTGATGCAACCTCTTTGGGGTACGGATAGTCTAGCCCATTTTTGTGAGTGTTGATCGCCACTGGGCCAGGCCTGGTGGTGAAGCTCCTGCAAACAACTGCAACGTGAAGCACATTTGAGATATTTTAATGTATCATCTCTTGGAAATAACTATCTTTTTGATTTTGACTCCTGTCTCTCTGCCCACCTGAGCCTGACAGAGCTTCTAGACGAGAGAACGATAAATCACCAAGATTTTTTAAACAAAAAAGCACATAGTTGGGTGTGCTCAAGACTTACAGATCGGCTGTGCTCCGAGATGATTTCTGTAAACACTACTAAGAAGATGATAGTGGATATTTTGTAATTTTGCAAAGTGGGGGTCAATGTTGTCACACAAAAAGAACACAATTTAAATAATTTCAAATACAGTTTGTACTTTTATATATATATGGGAGAGAAATCAAGTATTGCTAGAAACACTGCTGGCTGTTGAGGAGGTTCATTTCCCTTTGGAACAGATTTGGATCTTTCCATTAGTTCCTTCTAATAAAAGGGAAACTTCTCTCCACCTTCTCACCTGAACGGTTTGGTCCTATTCAAACCGCCAGGCAAGTAGTTCCAGACATATTAACAAAACTTCTACCAGAATGAAACAAAATCACAAAACAAACAAACAAAAAAAAAAAGCCACAGATATTTTACAGATTTAACTAGATTAAAAAATTCCAACCTGAATATTTCAGTTGTGATAATTCAGCCCACGCTGACCCCTGTGACAGGTAACGCTAAATAATCAAAAGCAACAGGAAAGTGATGAACAAATTAGGTTTCAAAATAACACATTTATTCAAACTGAACAGAGGACACAAACTCCAATCAGCTTAAAAATTTTATACTACATTATGGCAAACACAGGACCAGTATGCTCAGAGCACAGATACATGATTTACAACTTAAAATTACAGCATGGGCTGAAATTCTTGAACTGAGAGAACCGAGAGGCAGAATGTCGAATACATATCAAGAACGGAATATGGGATTTTTTTCTTTTAATGAAATACACCCAATAATTTGATATAAACAATTTAAAAGTATTTAGATACATGCTAAAGTATTTAAAATTTAAACAATTAGCAAGATATGCAGATATAAAGTTACAAGAAGTATTTTGGAGTTGTATAAAAGATGCAACGTTGTCCCCAAAGCCCATCGTGGCTACTAATCAGGTACTAATCTTGTCATGAGAATATTCTCTACCAATAGCAGTCCTGCTGACAAACTAGCTCTAAAACTAGCTTTCTGGTATGTTAACCTGCAGGCAGATTTACTTACACAGCATGCATTCAGTAATGAAAGCCTCATTAAAACCACCTTTTGAGATAACACGAATTGGAAATAAATTCTTCAATAATCTTAAAACCTGATTGTTTTGAAGAGATTATATCAAAGGACATCCTGTTTATTCTCTTCCTTGTTAAATTCAGTTTTATTACTCATTTTTTAAATATATTTTGCCCTGAATGTATAAATAAATGAAATGTGATCTTTATGCAAATCTGAAACCACTCCAAAAATGTCTTACTGATTACCTAACTCTGAGCTTAAAGGCTCTGCCTGCCTAAGTCGCCTAAATCTCGCATACCCCTTGTATTTTAACAAATATTTACATCTCCTGACTAAATATTCATTCTACAGTAAGTTCTGACCAGTTACTGTACATTTGGATGTCACCGTTTCTCTGAAGCTCTTGGTATTGCTTGTTCTTGCTTTTTTTGGTCAGCATGAAAGACAACGAAGCACCTGATGTGGAGCCAACCCACGAGGCAGCTCTTCACTTACGTTATCTTTATCACCTGGATAAAGCTGCTCATGAAATGGAGCCACTGAATCACTGAGCTCGTCCTAATCTTTTCAAGCCTGCAGAACAGCTGTGGTTAAAGTCCAGTGGGTCTGGCTGCTTCCCACGTGAGAAGGCAGAGACTTCCCACTCAAACGCTGTGCCGTGGTTGACATGGAGCTCATCTGGACTCCTTAGGTAGCAGGGGGAAAATTGACATTTGTGATTGAAAGCAGTGCATTTTAAGTGTATTTCATATAACTCATTCAATTTTCACAATATACTAAGTTTCACACAAATCCAAAAGCTACCCATGATCAATAAAAGCGTCAATTGTTTTAATCAGGGCATTCTTTATAAATACAGGTGTTTTTTGGCTCTGTTCTTATTCCTGTTGCTTATAGGGAAAAAAAATCCTTATAAGAAAAAAGTTCAAATGAACAGTAAATACTGTAGCAGCAATAGCAGTAGCAAAATCCCCAGCTATACAATCAAGTCCTTTAGTGCCAGGCCAATTAAAACTATAAGGGTTAAATCAGTAAATCTTTGAAAACGGTTTCTTCTGATATTTTAATATTTAAAAACCCAATTTATTCAGATGTACTCATAGACTTTCGATATTCCATGAAAGCCAGAGGACAATTTTAGTTAGAGTATCTTTATGAGACTTCAGCCAGCTGACCTCATTCCTGCATAAACATCAAGGAATGTCAAGTAAGACTGCTGCACATTTTTTTTTCTCCCAACTAAAGATATTTTAGTAACATTTAGTCTACTTCAGGGCCCACTAATTGTGCCCTTAATCATACACTGTCAAGTTATTGTCCAAACTGTATTTTTGTCTTGCCCTTTCATCTAAGGTAAGTTGTAACCTACAAAGCTTACAGTGAAGTCCCATCTTCAAAATCTACGAGCTGACTTCCATGCTGAAATCTCCCAAGTTAATCTCAGTTCATAAGAGAGAAAGCCATCCTGTAGGACTATATTAATTGCAAAGACCATCCTGACTGGAAATTTCAGCTCTGCCACAGCAGCTTTACTAATGAGATAAAATTACATAACTCTGTAGGATCAGAAATATGACTGTAAGCAGTTTTCTCTGCATACAGAATACAGAACCTCCACACTTGAATTAAAACACCGACCCTTCTAAAATTAATGTCACTGAACATCTTGTTTTGGAACAACTGAATGGTATGGTCTATCAAGCAAGCCATGAGACTGTCCAAATCTTTTTTTGCTCCACTAACTTCAAATGAGTTTTAACAAATAATTTAGTCAATCTAGATAAATATTGAGCATATAAGTATGCTGAAATACACTTGGGAGCCAATGTTTTCTAGGAAAATATGCAATTATAACTATAAACATTAAGTACTAACAGCCCACCTAAATATCGTTGAGCACAGCACCATCATAAAATGTGCTCTTTATAGAGCACACAAAATCAAAATGTACGTGCCAGGAATTATGGAACATTCCATAGTTGATATCTTTGTTTCAAAATTTGAAAATTTACTGCTAAAGACAGACTTAAATGAACTAAGTCAAAGACTGTAATGATAACCAATTATCTAAGAAAACCAATGATGTAATCCAAACACTAGCTGTACCAGACATCACGCAGTGACTGTACAGCCAGCAAGGCCATGAGATGAAGCGTATTTATGAATTCCAAATATACTTAGATAGTGAATTTTATACCTGAGATGAAAATCGAGAGGTAAGAGAATCTGTGGTGTAAATAACTGCCAGGTGAACAAGAACAAACATGCCTTCATAACTGCGTTTTTTTAAAAATATATGCGAAAATCACAACTGACATTTCCCCTTTTTAGACAAACACAAGCACGTTTCACGGTGTGACTGATTGTGTTCTGAAACTATTTTAAAGGCTCCTGTGATTCCAATGCTTTAGTAGTTCAAATGGAATTCTGAGTAGAAGCAGCATCCTCTACTCAATAGTTTTATGAAATTTAAGGCACCCATAAGAAGCATATTTCATGGGAAGTTTCCATTGTAGGGAAAAATAAACCCAATTTTCCCCTCAACAGAAAAAAAAGTGTGTATTCAAGAAAGTAATTAAAATGCCACATTCTCTGTCAGTGAGGCTTAATAACATTATGCTTAAATAAAAGGAAAACTAAAGAGCTACTACTGCAGCCACAGAATCTTCACTAAGGTCACAAAAAATGCAGTATTTTGAAGGAAGAGGAAGTTTGTAATAAACTCTGAAAAAGCTAAAAGGTAAAAGCAGAGCAAGGTTGGGCCCTAGGTAACGATAAAAGAAAATAGATGAGAAACATTCTTCCATGATAGATACACTTAATTTATACAGCATAAATCTTAAGTTTAATGAATCACTGTACCACAACAATGAGTGCAAATACATGATTTTGTGGGCAGGAACACTGATAAAGAAGCATATTTTGTTTTCATCTGTATGGAATGACATTAAATTGCTTGCTCAATGAACGGAAATTTCATTCCATGTGTCAGAAAACATATCTATGATTTATTACTAGAATCAGCTCAAAATGTTTTCCATAATCACAAAAGCTCAACTAATCTGAAGCCATTAGACACAAAGATACACATGGTTTTGGTTAAATAAAAACAGACTTTTCTTCAAATTATGAAGTTTAGTTCTTTGCTTCCGCAGCTCCCTTATCCAGTTTTTCTTTTGCTTTCTCTTTTTCTTCCAGTTTTTCTTCTTTTTGAAGCAGTGCCATAATTTCAGCAACCTGACTGGTTCCGATATCAACATCTTCTTTGTCAATCAATTCTACTACCTGCACAAACATAAAATGAAAAAGAATAACATTTAATTTTAACATGTTTGAAACATTTTGATAACTTAAATTTTAAGAGAAAAGTAGCCAGTTCTCTCTCATCAAAAAGAATGAGGGAAAAAAAACGTATTTAGCAACACATAGGAAACTTTTTTAAAAAAGAACATGAGGTGTTACTGCTGATCCTCTTGGTGACCAAAACAGAAAATTGATAAAGTAATTTTTCTTTTACCCTGGCATTTTTTTTCCTACATGAAAAAATTCAAACCATAACCAATGCCTCTGGACATTCTTGAAGTACTTAAAATGAAAAAAAAAAACTCACAATTTTTAAAGCAAATAGCTTAAAACTTTTGACCTCTAAACACAAAGAGTTACATTTTAAAGCATTTTTTAAAATGAACCCATTCATTGTTTCTGTTTCAATGGAAAGCTCAGACTCAACATCTAGTACTGATGAAATAATATTTACAACAATAGCCAATTCATAGGCTTCTTTTTTATTGAAAAGACTTACTGTACTAAACACAAGGCATAAAATTACAAAAATTTTACAAAGTGAGACAAGATACCTTTTTGAAAACAAAACCAATTTTTAAAATAGCATACCCTTCTGAATTCCTTTTAGCAGCTTTCTCTACTACAGTATTCTCAGTACAGTTCAAATTCCAAGAACTAAAGTGTTATATAATGAATTAACTCGGAAATACGTTTTACCTGTGCTAATAAGCAAAACTGAATTTGATAGCTGTTTAGAGCAGCCATAAGTAAGAGTGAAAACATGTTTCCAAAAGCCAATAATGTATTTTCCAACTAGCCATATAACTGTAAGTCTTTACTTCTATACTGGACAGAAAAAAATTACTTGTGAAGGAGTGAATTTTATGGTATTTTTAAGTTAACCATGTAGAACAAAAGCAAGAAAAAGGAGAATCACAAGAGAAAACTGAGGAAATGCTCCAAAATGAGGGGAAAAAAAGAGACAAAGTAGGCAAGGAACCGGTGCCCGAAAATAAAGTATCACACAAGTAACACAACATTGACTGAGCAGAAGTCACCTCTGCAAAGCCCTGAAAGGCAGCAGAAAGAGAGAATGGTTGAATTACCACAGGTCCTGACAATGCTAATATGTATAATATATAACATCCATTTATAGTACATTCCTAAAAGCCTCATCATTATATCAAATAAAAACTCTGAAAAAGAAAGCAACAGGAAATCGCTTCAATCAGGGAAAACATTTCAAGTATAGCTAGCTAGATTTTATTTAAATATTCCACAGACTTACCTTAACAACATTATCTATATCAATTTGGCCATCCTTGTTTTCATCTAGGGCCTCTGCTATCCTAGTCAGCTTCTCCTCCGGAATCTTCTGAATTTGTTTCATCGCGTTAAGAAGCTCAGAAATACTGATGAGATTCTCCCTAAAGGGGAAACACAGCCTGCATGTGACAAGCAGTTAACTCCAGAGGAGTAAAGGTGACAGCACTGAAACACACCACTGTAGGCCACCACATTGCAGGTCATTCATAAAACATTAACAGTTTTACTGATAGCCCTGAACAAAATGCAAAAAAGCAAAATGAGTTACTGATCAGCAAAGCAGATCTCAAGTGAGCTTTTATCTTTCCACTGAATCTCACACCAGGTTTCCGCATGCTTTGTTGCACAAATCCAAGTAGCTCGTGGCATCTGAAATAATGTTTGGCACCGTTTCCATGCTTCCCAGCACATAGATCTAACGCCCTTTGCCCTCCCCTATTTATTCAGGGTGCTCTCCAAGCCCCACTCCTTTTGGATTTAGAGAAGCTGGCCTAAGAAATAACACAGATAAGATGTGAAAGTCACAGGAAAGCAAAAGTTAAGAACTAATCTCTTTAGCAACTAGTTGCTTTGCTTAAAAACAAATAAAATGGCTTAATTTGCTCAAATTAAGGAATAAAACTTTTAGAAGAAAGGTTTAAATGTCACCCTGTGACTAACAGACTTCAGAAATTGCCCATTTCCCTTGTCTGTTTATTGATATTTTCAAGCTAATATCATCTCTTTTCTGCATGCTAAAGACTCTGCTTGCCTACAGAGCTTTATTATATTTTATATTTTGAAGAATCACCTTTCAGCAAAGGAGAAGCTGAAATGCAGGAGACACTGAACCCAACAAAGACTAAATAGAAGGGTTTTATTAGTATAGTCCTAACTTCATACCTGCCTAACCTCTGGACACAGCCTGACTCTTTCAGGGAGCATTTCTCAGACTGCTACTAAATGTCCTGGACTTCTGCTGTTCCTACGACTCTTGCTTTGATGGCTTGGCAATGACTGCATCGACCAGAGTCAAATGGTAAAAGTAACTTGAATAGAAAAGAAGAGGAAAAAAAAAAAAACAGGCATCATTACTTCTCCTTAAGCCATTGAAAATATAATGCACCTTACACAGTAATTACATGAGATACGATTCCAAAGTAATCCCAATTTTCATGTAGTGGCTTAAAAATTCAACTAGTAACCAGCAGGATTTATGCAAGACCCTGAAGCAGAGAGGAAAGTTGTTTCAGTCAGCCCAAGGCAGGTACATGGGCACACCGAGAGGCTATTGACCAACTCGGATGAGATGTTCACAGCATCCTGGATTATTCTGGATTACATCCTGAAGCTCAGCCACAGGTCAGTGGTACCCGCCCATCAAGTTAGCCCCATGGTGGATCGCTGGTGGATGGTCAGTGCAATCACACCAACACGTGGAAATTTCTTCCCATCTGATCCAGGTCTGCTTCCCTTTGCTGATGGCTCTATCAGTGGGGCCTCCCATCACTTCAAGAAGCTGCTTTCCCAGTGAGGAAAAGATAAAGACTGCTGGCAGACCAAAGGGAGGGCTGAAGAACACTCGTTTGGAGCATCAGTTTAAAAATATTGGGGGGAAAAAGTAATCTCATTCAAAAGAAGTCTTTTCCATCTTTTGCTGAAAATAACAGAGATTTTCCAATACACTTCAAAGGAATGCAGATTTTTGTACAAGAACAAATTCTAATCTAGTTATCTGCATGAAAGCAGAGTGTAAAAGGGTCTAAGCATTGATATGGGACCTTGTGAACTATGGTAATATAACTTGAAATTAAAAAGAAAAACAAAAACATACCCTTCTGATATTAAAGTGTTTAACTAATCAATTACAGTCATTAGACTTCTGAAATCTAATTTCTATTTGTTTATTCCACAAAACCATTGCAGCTATACATACCATATAGCTATATTCAAAAGCAGCAGGTGCAACACTGTGCTTGAGTTCACACATTTGGATGGTTATGATCAACAACCTCTCCACAGCATCTTTCACAAAACTGCTATATTAAGAATGTTCTTTGAAAACCTGCAAGTTTGCTAAAATTAAAATAGAGCAAAGATTTGGAAAGGAGACATGCAGAATTATCTGCTCACTTCCACTAGATCTGCTGCCCCCTTTCTCTCCAAAGCAGTATCTGTTTACATTACAGAAAAACAGATTTTACTGCTATTTTCCTCTTACTGACAACCACGTTACTAAAACAGAACACAAATATGCTCATAAACCTGTTCCTCTGCTATTCAATCAATGACACTGGGCAAACCTAACGCCCGGGTATCATTATTAAAGGCTTGAGGTCACCTTTAGCATCTTACTCATACCAGTAGCACTAAGATACTAGTGGACAACCTGAGTCACTTCCCTCAGAAGACAGAAAAATCTACAGAACAATTTTGTTAATTTGTACTAAAATCTGTACCTGAGGATGTAAAAACACATGTATTGGCCAAATCTCTTCTAAACTAAGAAAAGAAATCAGACATCACGCAAGAGAGAGGCTGGAGGCGAGTAGTTTGCAAGAGACACTCACTGCTCGCAGGTCACTTACCCAGCAGCTGGACCAGCACTCCCTTCAGGCTTGACATCCACTGTCTTTTGGCTTGTCTCTAACTCATTAATGATTTTGTCTATCTGACCAATCATTCGGTTCACCCTTTTGGTCAATCTCTTGCTTGCCTTGGACTCTTCCACTACATCTTCTTGCCCAGTTTTAGACAGTTCTTTTATTTCTTGCAAGTCCTAAAAGAAATAGTCAAGAAAAATAAAACCTTTTTGGGAATGAATTCTCAATGATAGGACATTACTGATCTAAGAGATTAGAAAGACAAGAGCCATTAGCAAACAGAGAGACATGTAAAGCCATAACGATGTATTAGAACACTTAACCTAAACATTATAGGTATATTCATCCACCTCGAAAACGTTATTTTCCACATCTTTTCTCTACCACCATCTTACTTGAGATTCATTTTTACCTTATTTACATCTAGGTAAATCCACAGCTATGCTTGATGAGGAGACCAAATAACTGCAATATGCTCAGCACGTTAGTTTAGTCACCCTGGGAATAAGATCAGTATTCACACCTAATGGGAATTACACCAATGATCTTAGCTAAATTTTAAACATATTATATTAACAAGGGTTTGTATTGTCACATAGAACAGCGCAACATTAATTACCAAACACAAGCTAACAGACATCCAAGTAAGATTATTTATGTGGTTTGTTTATCCTAAGATTACACACGAACAGAAGTAAAACCAACTTTCTTGTTCCTTCACCTCATTATATTCCTGGACATCACCCTTCAACTCCTCGAGCTCCTCTTTTTCTTTTGTTAGTGACTTTTTCTGTTCCTGCAGCTTGGTGCAAGCATCACTCAGCACATCAATCTCCTCCTTAGTTATTTCCTCACCCTGTAAAGAAAAAATAAATAAATAAATTCTTTTCTCAGTGGTGGACAGTGACAGGACAAGGGGTAACGGGAACAAAATGAAACACAGGCAGTTCCATCTCCATATGAGGAAGAACTTTATTGTGAGGGTGACAGAGCCCTGGCACAGGCTGCCCAGGGAGGCTGTGGAGTCTCCTTCTCTGGAGATCTTCCAAATCCACCTGGATGCAGCCCTGTGCCCTGTGCTGTGGGTGTCCCTGCTGGAGCAGGGGGTTGGACTGGATGATCTCTAGGGGTCCCTTCCAACTTAAAACATTTTGAGAGTCTGTGATTTGTAAACACGCACACACGAGCAACAGACATGGTGATTTTTCCTCAAAGATTCAGCCTCTTACAAGGAAATAAAGACTCAAGATTCTTTTTTCTGTGTCTAAAATCAGTTCCATAGAGTGGCATTTTGAGGCTAATAGAGATCTTAGGAGCGCTAAAGCAAATACTTTGGTATGGCCTGTATTTTTAGGTGCATTACTAGCAAGTACAGGTGACTCATTATGCAGATTGTTCCTTGGAACCTAACCTCATTTTAAAATGTTTTCTTTCTTTCCTGGATAGATAAAACATACAAAAACAAAAACCAAACAAAACAGGAAGAGACATAAACAAAAACTACTGAGAAATGATTCATTATACATGGCAGGGGAAAAGCACAGAAAAACTTTTAGATGAAAGTTTAAGAAGCTGAGCTGGAGGGAAACAATCTCAAATACAGTTTATTATCCACATTTCTCAAAAAACACCAGAATCAGTCTTGTTCAGTAATATCACTGCAGCTTCTCCCTTCTTTCAATTTTCTGAAAAACGATTCCATAGTGTTTAAAGCCTTTGCAAAACATGAGGAAGAATTTTCTAGGGCACAGGCTATGCTGCAACCTATGTTGCAGAAATTAGGCTGCACTGACTTTGCTTCTCATTTCCCATGTCAGCGTTCAGGCTGTTGAAGAGTCCCCTTTGTGTCCCATTCTCAGGGCGCTGGTGACGCGGCAGGCAGCAACACAAACTCCACTCCATACATGGGAACTGGAGCTGGCAGCAGCACTGCACAGCTGTGGTTTCCAGAAGGAAAACTCGCCTGCCTCTCCCACGACATTCCTCACGGCAGCACTAGCACTACGCAGTCAGCCAGATCAGCTAAATATCACACACAAAAACTTATGGTTTCCATGCGGATTAAAATTTGTTTGGCAACATTCTAAATTCAACAAAGGAGGTTTTAATAATAGCAGGTAGATAATGGCGCTGTCTAGGAAACTGAAATTATTTTTTTCCTACTTAAAACATGCATTTCACATTGATGTTATTCTGCAGAATCACAAGTTGATTGAGAAAAATCTCAGTACAAGAATAAAGGCTTCAGCTACAAAAACTCATGGTTCAGCTCCAACATAAAGGCACATGGGAGGTGGACGCAGGGACAGATGACCCAGGAGCTGTCTGAGCACACAGGGATGGGGTTAGGAAGGCCAAAGTCCGCCTGGATTTATCTGGCGAGCAATGTGAAGGGCAATGGCATGGGCTCCTATAAGAGCATCAGCAGCATGAGAAAGAAAAGGGAAAATGTGGGTCTGCTGCTGAATGGGGCAAAGGACCTAGCGACAAAGGTTATGGAACACGCAGAGGTACTTGATGTCTTGTTCAACTTGGTCTTTACTAGCAAGAATCTCAGACCCCTGAGACCAGTGGGAAAATCTGGAGTAATAAGTCTTACCCTGAATGGAATATCAGGTTAGGAAACAAGTAATGATTAAATATCTGAATAATTCAAATAACTTAATTTAAATAGACAGGTCTACAGTCATCAATGCCAAGAGAGCTGGCCAAGGTCATTGCAAGGCCATTCTCAAATATCTTTCAACAGTCACAGAAACTGGGGGAGGCTCCAGGGGAGTGGAAGGAAGTATCATTCCCTATCCTCAAGGAGCAGCAGAATCAGGGGAATTACAGTTCAGCTATCCTCACCTCAGCCCATGGAAAAGCAATGGAGCAAATCCTCCTGCAAGCCATTTCCCAACACATGAAGGGCAAGGAGGTCAGTGGAAGTATTACATAAAGGGGAAATCCAGCTTAACCAACCTGAGAGCCTTCTGTGATGGCAGGACTGGCATGGTGGGTGGGGGAGAGCAGTGGATGTTGTCTCATTTTAAGGCTTTTGACATTGTCTCCCCTAACAGTTTTACAGGGCAGCTGAGAAAGAACAAGCCAGAAAAGTGGAGCCTGAGGCTTGCCCAGCCTAGAGGAGAGAGGCTTCAGGAAGAACATAGCAGCAGCCTTCCAATAGCTGGAGGCAGACAATGCATAGTGAAACAACAAGAGACTAAAAAAATGAATGGAAATAAAAAAAGTCTCAAAATGGATGCATGAAAAAAATCAATATTTATAAATATAATCAACCAAATTACCTTAATGCCTTCTAACACTGGTGCTGTATCTTTCAGTGTCTCCGAGTCCACCGTCACATCCACCCTTGCCAGCTCTTGTTCCGTTTCCACGGCTAGGTGACTTTTTTTCCCTTGCACACCAGCTGCTGCAAGATCCACTGCCAATTCTACTTCTTTCTAATTTTCAAAAGCCCAGGAAATTTATTAAAACATAGATAGCATTTTCTGCACTAACATCGGTAAAGGATTCTTCTTAAAACAGAAGCATTTGCCAAAAGAGGCATAGATTGTATTCCAAGACAACATTCAAAAGCTTGCAATATATTGAACAATTTCATATTAAAATAATATGAAATTCCTATCCCATTCCTGCACATAGTTCCTGGAGTAGGAACTATCCCTGTGAGCATTGATGATTAAATCACAAGTAAAGTAGCTCAGCTTTTATACTTAATATTACAACAATGGCTGCATAAATGAAAATGACCCAAGATAAGAATTTCAGAGAACTCAAATAAACCCTTGCTAGAGAAACAGGCTTCTCCTCCTCCAGTTAAGAGGAGGCAGCAGAGATACGAGTCATACAATCTTTCACATTTCATTGCAAACCCTTCTGTATGTCAATCTATTTTCAGAGGCTCCAAGATTATCTGTATGTGGATTTATTTATTTATTTAAAAATTCCAGTTTCTTGCAGACAATACCCAGAATGGAGGTAAATAATTTTCAAAGGATATATGCACACATAATATGCTCATTTTTACACTCCTGACAAAATTACTGCTAAATAGCTGAACAAAGTCCTTACCATGGCTGGAACCTGAAGGCTTTCTTTGGCTTTCTCTGCAGCTTCAGACAGTCTTTCCATCTCTTTTTCTTGATTTTCTTTTCTGATGGCTTCCTCTTCCTGAAGAGTTGCTTCCAGGCGTGCTTTATTATCTACTTTTTCACCTTCAACTTCTGCCACTTTGACTTGAGCTTCTTTGGCCTAAAAACAAAGCAAGAAATCTGTTTATATACTCTTACTGAATGAGGCAGTACAGGTACATTAATGAATACAGCCAAAATCCCCTCAAATTACCATTATTTTTCTTAACCTACAGGACTGAATAAAGTTGCTTTGGAGACCTAGTTAGAAGACCTTCATACTAGCAGTTCAGTCCAAGAGCAGTAACTTTGCAGGCCAAACAGAAATCAGTAGGTCAAGAGACTCAGAGCCTGTCTCATGTCTCTCTGGCAATTTGCACTGCCTTTTTGACAGAGTGTAGTCCTAAAAAGCTTAAAAACAATTAAGCAGGCTGATGCCTGCTTCCCTGTCACAACAATAAAATATAATGTAAACTCTGCAATTTAATACAGAATTTCAGTCATGACAAATCACTCATGAACTCCTTATGAAGGGGGAAAACTTTATTAGCAGTTTTGCCTATCATTCTGAAACGTGGTCTGCAAAATTCCATTTACAAGTGAAAACAACCACAACCTCATCTATGACAGCCATCAACATCTGTCAAAAAATAACCTCCATAAATTCAGATTTCAGCTCCATCTGATACCAATCATTAATAGACCAACAACCCATGAAGATCACGCAACTTAATTTTATTTTGCTTGTGTAGTTTTCCTTTGGCAAAAAAAAACAAACTATTTTTAATCTTCCAACTTTATTACTGTCTAATCTTCATGCACCAAAATAGCACCTTTGCATTTCCTTTATTCTCAGATTCCTCTGCATATAAACCCAATTCTTCCATTTTTAAGGTCACTCAAACAAGCCTCAAACATGTTTTACTTTTCCAAGCAGAAGCAAAGGATCAACTGCGCTAAACAGGTTTTCAGTGTTAATACTGAAGATTAGTCATGGGCTACATAACCCAATACTCACAACACTCTCTGGTAGTGTCTGAAGTGTTGTTTTAAGCTGGTCAGCTGGAGAAAGGGTATCTGGAAGATACATGGCTCTGGATAGAATAAGCAATGAAGTAGGGATTTCCTGGTTCAGGTGCAGATCTAGCCACTATAAATGGAATAAATAAATAAAAATATTCAAATTTAGAGTTCCTTTTCCTTTTTATGGTTCAGAATCATAATAAAAGACAGACAGCAATTCAGATGTATTTGTTCTTGCAAAAATATACCTGCTTAAGCTGTTCCTTGAGACGCTCCTCTGTTACACCAAGAGCTCTCATACCTCTTGCACGACACGCTGCCTGCAGCTCTTTAACGGTCAGAGTATCGACTCCTTCTTCAGAAATCAGCTGTACAAAAGGTCAAATAAACTTCAACGTGCAAGAGCTCAAAACATATCTGCATATGCACACCTAGAACTCTGCATTTTTACAACGGCCACTAGATGCTGCTGTGGTAACATAAAATAGTCTCATCTTTTCCAACAAGGGTGGATATTACACTACTGTTTTTAACAGCTCCACAATTGTACTGTCAATTTCCCTGTAAATTTATTGGATTTAGATCAACTCCCTGACAAACTGTAGCTTCACAGAAATACTTTCAATGAAAGCAATTGCTTCCATTCCAACAAGTGGTAGACAAAAGCCTCAGCTTTGTCTTTTTAAAAAGGACAATTTCTGATTTTAAGCTTTTTTTTATTGCTAATTAACAATTAATTAACTGTTAATTTTAATTAACACAAAATGAAAATACCTAGAAAGAAGTTATACATATTTGTTTCTTTCACATGTAAGTATTATTCAATCAGTGCATATTTAGGACCGACTCACTTTGTCGTCTGCCTTTATGCTTCTCAACCTCATAGTCAGCTGGAAGCGCAGGAAGTTGTTTGTTCCAATTGACTGAAGTTCCAGGAGTTTACAGAGTGCCACCAACTGAGGCCTGGTTAGGTTGTCCAGGGTCAATTCATCTTCAAATAGTTTAGAGAACCTCAGGATCTCCTCGTTACTAGGTCTTTCACCAGTTTCTCTGATCTGTAAGAACACAAACAGCCTCTCAAAGCTAGTGCAGTGGTTGAACCTTAAACAGTAAGTATTAGTCTCCTCATTTGTAAAGTACTTGGCATCAACTCTGATAATAGGAAACAGAATCCAATGACATTCTTGGAAGGAATGGGGGGGGGGGGGGTGTTCAAAAAAATGCATTATTTAGTATAGAATGCCAAAAACTTGACAGTATTGATAACTTCCAGGTGCACTGCACAACACACCAAGTGTAAAAACAAGTAAAATGAAAATTAGATGCACTTGTATACTAATAACTAGCTCTATCTGAACTGATTTTACTAGGAGAGACCTCAAAAAAATCTCAGAAGAACAGTTGCTATAGAAGTGACACTGGCAAATATTCCTCCTGATACTGTATTTTCTAAACATAAAAGCATGTTAAAAGCAACACTCTGTGAAGACAATGGAAAAACATCCTCGTTTCCAACAGGAAAAAACTTAACATGGGTATCCCTAAAAGGGGCCAATTTGGACCCTTGCCTACCTAATTACTCTGCACAAATGCACTTGTTAGAATACTGTGTTGGTTGCAGTTCCTAATTATTCTGTAATACCTCAGTGCAAATGCCCTTGTACATAAAAATAAAAGTTATTCCAAAATATTAATCATTACTTGTGAAAGAACTTCCAGGCCTTCCTAATGAAAGGTCCTGGTTAACTGTTTATACAAGCGAAAAATTAAGCTTTCATGTGCTGCCAAATGGCACTTCACAGTAATTAAATAGAAATATCTGAAATGAAAATTCAAAGAAAAAAAATCACACTACCAACAAAATCATTCCTTACTTTCTTTTTAATAAAACATTTTCTATGTAACTGTGGAATTTTCCGAGTAGTTTAGTCAGTTTGTTACATTACTGAATCCAAGCCCTACAGAATCTAATAATCAGATAATGTCCAGCCACCTAACACTCTCAGTCTAAACAGTTAATATGATCCACAAAAGGACTTTTCCTGATCCCTCTATCTTTTTTAAACTTTAAAAGGAAGACACAAGTTAAGTGACAGCAAGCACAGCCTGAAATCCTACTATTATCTCTAGAGCCTGATTTATTATGACTGCCTTCCCTTACTAACTCAAGTCTTTTAGTAAACAGCTATTTAGGAAAGGAAAACATTCTAAAAAGTGGGAAACAAGATGGTCTCTTGGGTTCATTAATGTCCATGTTATCCCTGCATGTGAGAAACTAAAACTCAGAGATCAAAAGGTCAAAGAGCTAGTTGTTCCACTTCACCAGCTCCTTCACTGTAGGAGCCAAAAATGGAACTTTGAACATACAGAAAACATTTTCTTCTTTAGTTAAAACTGAATTTTGCCATAGCCAAACATTTGTAAAGAAAAATACAAAACCTTTATGTTAATAGCTGCTTTCTTGAGTGTGAGAATTAAAACTATTCTTGTGTCCAAAGCAAGACAGCTCACATGCTGCAATTCTGAAGCATGCACAGCAGGCATCTATAATCAGTTAACTCCTGCAACATCAAATAATTGCAAAAGCAACTATAAAGAATATGAAAAAGGGAGAAATAACTGAAGCTTGTTTTTGCTTTGACGTTTGTTATCTAGTATGTCTGGATGAGACCAATAATGTTTGCCTATATGGCACAAATGAGAAGGCTATTGCTGCAAAAGGCACATCCACACATAAGGAAGGCAGCAGCTGCAGCCTCTTTAGTCACCACTGGAAGTGCAGATTTCCTCTAGTGAACGTGAAGTGAAACATCATTAACTTAGCTGGACATTAACCCCTGATTTAATCTGTTACTGCTTCGTTCAGTTGAAAATTAAATGCTCCAAGCGTGAATCAGATCAGTTGTACATGCCTAGAATCTGCAGCCAGCACGGTGCCAGTGCTTTGGTGCTGCTGTTAAAACCCACCTTTTGATTATTTTCTGCAAATGAAAAAAAATAGAAGTAGGAATACCTAAAATGAAATTTCAACACACTGAAACATTAGTCAAAAAAAAATCTATCCTTAATATATATTACACCAAGTTCCTCCAAGTCCAGCAAAATAAAGATAACTAATAATTACCAAGGACCAAATAAAATATCTCCAGTTGTATTTTTTTCCTCGTGAGAATAGAAAACATTTTCTGATTTTTTTTAATTACCTTTTGAAAGAATGTTGAGAAGTCTTTTGTAACATTTCCTTTGGCTGCTTTATTTTTTAAGGCCATCTCCTCAATGGTGTCTTGAAGAAACTTAGCCAATTCAAGCTTTACTCTCAACTGTTTCTTCAGTCGTTCCTCCTAGTAAAGAAAACACTTGATTTAAAACATATTTTCCAGACATAGAACCACTAACACTGTTTTTCTGCCCTCAGACAAGTCATCTGGACTATTTCTGAACTTCTGTTCCACATAAAAATGGTAAAGTGACATTCATTCTTACGGATTACCAAATCATCCCAAAGAGAAAGATCAGCTCACAGAGCTCCATGCAGCATAAGATACAAAGCTGATAAAGAAGTACACACACAGCCTCATCTGCTAATACTAATATGCGTCCTATGACTCAGTAAAAACAAACAAACGAAAACAAAAAAAAAAAGTATATTGTCAACTTCTAACACCAAAATCTTGGATCTAGCACGAAGAAATTCTATTTTAAATCCTTATCCTAATACAGTGGCGTTTAATCACAGGATTAAAATTAGATGATGTAATTCGCAAGTATCTGATGCGATTTTATCTGTGACTGACTGGGAGTTTACACAGCACATAAGTTCATCCGGTGTCCCGAGAGTGAGAATTCTTCAAAAACTCTAAACAATACTGAGAAAAATTAATGGGACAATTTAAACAGAGCAGCATATATAAACTCCTTAATATTCAGTACAAATACAAAAAACTCATATTAAGAATAAGGACTACAAATGTTAAAAGTAGTCCACCTATGGCAATGCAAACTGGAAAAAGGAGGTTTCATAGCTTTCCTTTCTGTTTTGTAAGGGTTACAGAAACTGGATATAAGAAAAGGAAAATGCAGACTTGACAGCTAACAGACTTGCATATTAAAAACAGAAGAGTGAAAGCAGACTTTGAAAAAAATATTTAGCAAATTGTTAAGATCTATATTGTGATATAAATCTATTTTCTCTTTCCCCTCCCTCCCCCCAAAGAAAAGCCTTTTCCTTTATTTATTTGCTAAAGGATAGTTCTCTATCCTACATTCAACAAAATACAAACCAGAAATGCTATGCTGTTAAGTGTTGCAACACTGTTTCTTTCACAATCCTGACTCATCCAATCCAACTTAAATGTGTAACTACAAAAATTGTTATGTGAATTTTTCCATTCTGAATCTTTTGCTAATTTATACAGAAACTAACTTTGGGATGTTTTTTAATATCATACAGTAATAATTAAACTTTTAATAAAATATCCTCAATTTAGAGGGCAATATAAATGTTTAAACAACCTAGTCTCTGTTAGCTGTCCTATACTCTAGCTGAAACTGTTATCAAACAAAATAATCTATAAATTAAAATATCACCTGAACTGGTAGGATAAATGAGGTCCGTGAAAATAAAACTCAGCTATAATTATCTGTTTTTATAAGGTATAAGCACTTGTATTCTGCCATTAAAAACCAAACCACGACTTTGTTAACGAGATTCTGCAAACATATACAACAGGCCTAAAAGAATATTCAAATAACAGTTGAAATATCTTTCTATAACATCTCACTAGAGTATAAATTCAAACTTGCTCACCTTTTTAGACTTTGTCTCAAACGTAGAAGGAAGCATATTAGGGAACAGCTTAAGAGCTACTGGAAGCAGAAACTCCATAAATGGTACAACAAGAAAAACAAGGAAAGGGACCAAGCGGAAAAGATCGGCACATATTCGAAGGAACTGAAAGAGAAAACACATAATCAGATTTATTGACAAGTAAAATTTTATATATTTTAATTAAAAAGAAAATGATGTGAAGATTCAAATTACAACTGAAGCGCACACACACACACACACACACACATATATATATATATAAATATAAAAACTGTAAAGGAAATTTAAAGTAACAGGAACTAAAAGTATGTGACCAAGCCATTTTTTGTATCTTTTTCTTAGAGTTGCTGTACACTACAGAGAGCCAGAGTTTCACCAGTTTTCCACACTATAGAAAGTATTTCAAAAGCCTCACTGTGTCTCAATAGGATTACTGAGCAAGTATCTCATTTAAACCTCTTAAAAGCACCTGAAAACAGGAGGTGGTCATTTCTTGTTGTTAAAGCTGCTTAACTTCTTTTATTCAACTTTGCTTGTGCCCCACCACTTCTTACATGCATGAGCTACTGTGGACTAAGTAATCAAGAATAAAATGAAAGGTCCCTCCCCCTCTGCCTTATAACAATTGCAATGTGCATTTAAATTCAGGGTAATAAGCCCAGCTTGGTAGAGTTTTTTTTTTTTTTTTTAATCATAGGTTTTCTAGAGTATTAATCCTCTGAAGCAGATGCATTGGTTACCGAATCTTGAACTGCATGAAGAAGTCTAATTTCCATACACTCACAAACGAATGTATTAGGCTGTAAAGTCTATAGTCAAATGGTTCAATGCTAGCTGGAAGCTTAATAACTTGGTTTATAGTACGGAGTAGATATTTTCCTCCACTCTAGCTCGTTTACTAAGTAAATAACAAGATATTAGGAATAATGTCAGCTTCTAAATGCAAGACCCAAGGGCAGCTGGACACTGCAGTCAGCACTGCCACAGCACTGCCATCGACATCATGACCTGATAAACAGAGTCATAGCTGGAAAGAACTGCTGTCCCCTGCATCCCCTCCCTGTGTAGCTCCCACCAATCCAGGAGAATGGGAGCAAAAGCTGGTATAAATTGTGTATCCTATAGAACTTCTCTGCTAGAATAGGAAAGCAGGAGAATTTTTAAACACAGAGTTTTCTTAGCATAAAGACAACCAAAATCTTAAATGCAGTCTGAGGAAAGCACAAAAAAAAGACCGGCTTTGCACAGGACCCCAACTCAACGGTGCACAAATACACACAAGCTATTTGGAAGTAAAGCATGAAAAACCTGAGACTACCTTGCAGCTCCTACTACGGTTCCTGTACCATGGTATTTAACTTGTCTCTCCCCCTCCAAGCAGGGAGCTCACGGCAAGTGCACGAGCTCTACAAGGTCAGCAGCATTTGCCTTCTCCCTTCACTGCCCCAAATTCTCCTACTGCAGAAAGCAGCAGCAGAGCAATGGTCTTTGAGAGCAAGTGTGCTATTTCACATGCTTTATTTCCTAAATAAATTTATCTCCTAAATGCAGACCAGTGACCCTTGTGAATCCAAACCAACCACAAATTGCAGAAGCAGAACTTGGGACACTTGGGACAAAGCAGAACTGACACTTGGGGTTTTTTAAAAAAAAAAGTATTAGCTCACTTATAGCCATGTTACTCTTGCTCGTAATGTGGTTAGATTACTTGGGTATCTTCTCATTATTGCCTCCAAAAAGGAAGGAAGGAGCCGGCAGAAACAACTCACTTGTCAGTCTGTGTAAAGACGATATTTTTTCCCAGGGACTGTCAGCTCATATAAAGTTGAAAAATGTTAACTCAGTTTGCATTTCAAATTCTTAAAAGGTTCAAAAGTAAATATTTTTACATTTCTTTAAATCCACATACTTAGAGTTTAAGGTTGAACAGATTAAAAGAAAAAAGCGGTATTGAAACAGACTAAAAAGTCTATAATGTCTCCATTCAAGAGATAAGACACATTCAACCTTCATATAGAGAAAAAAAAGAAACTCAAACTGAGAAAATGACAGTAGTTGTTCGGGCAATTTTTTTTTTCCCAAAAAAAATTCTAAACTGGACTGCACATACATACATATACAAACATGTAACTGTTAAAGAAGAGACGTGGTACATGGAGATAAATGCTAATTTATATCTGCATTAAGAAATGTCTATTTAAAATGAGCAGATTGATATCAGAACCATTTATCTGAAAGCAAAAATTAAAATCCAGGAAGGCCAAACGTCAGAACACTATGCCACTGGGAGACAGACAGTTCTATTATCAGATGCTAATAAATAAAAAACAAAAAATAAAAATAAAACACCAAAGCAAATGAATAAATCCATGCATTCACTGAGTAGTGCATGACTATCCACCAAAGATAACATTACGATATTACTTGCAAAGGTTCACACATTCTGTAATACTCTACTCATCTTTCAGTATAAATATATAATTTCTCAGGGTATGGTTCAGGGATCACAAGATAGGCATGAAAACCAATGGTTCCACTCCTGCCCTATGAGGACTTTCTGATTTTGTTTTATAAAGGTGAATTAATTTCTCTTTAATTTATCTTGTTTGAGTTTCCCAGATCTTTAGAGCTGCAACTAAGCTAGCAGAAGCCTGAACTGCAACTTTAAGCAGTGCTGCTCTCCTCTTATCCTCTTTCCTGGCACTATCTAACACCCTCTCTTACATCACCATAGATTTTTTCCCTTGCTTGGCATCTTCTCACTGGATCAATTGCCAAAAAAATGTCTATCAGCACAAAAGATTGCTAAATAAGCAGCATGAGGATACTGAGACCAAATGCCATCAACCAGCAGCACTGTAGAATGAGATCAAATACCATTACATTCTTACCAAAAAAGTTTTTATCTAATGATAAGCAAGGATATCATCATGCATCATTTACAAACAGGACAGTCATGCAACTAAGAATACTCTTATTTTAATGAAAGGCTTCTAGATTCACAATGGGAAATTAGTTAAAAATAGCCTGGAGTCCAGTGCAAAACTTTTAAGTGTCAGAGGTAGGGAGAAAAAAAAAACACACACACACACAAAAAAAAAAAAGACAGTAATTTTAATTCTAGGAACAGAAAACAGAGAGAATCAATTCAAATTACATAGAAAGGAACAATCATTCATGATACTAAATTAAATTGATATTTGCTAAGTACCTGTCTACGTTCCCGACGAGACAGAGTGTGCCCATGAAGTATTCGCCAGAGCATCCTTGCAGCTATTTTTGTGTCAATCCACAGTAATCGAAAACCATGATAATAATGCTTCAGCTCATCCACAATCCTCTGTCCAAGAGATTTTTTAACTACTTCTACTTCTGTTGGACTATATACAGGGCCCCCTTCTTCCAACTTCTTGTTTTTGTCCTTCAGGGACTTCAGGGACTTTTCAACCATGGAGTCATCTTGAAGGGGACGAGAAGAATGCCACCATCTAACTGGAACATACTGGGCACCTAAAACACCCACGGTTGCAAGCGGCGTCCATGAGCCAGAGGAGCTCATAACTGAAAAGTACATTCGTTCAGATCCTTTAGTCCAACAACAGTAATGATCTTTTTTGGAGTATGTGTAAACAGCAGGCACACTAGTGCAATATTTAAAGTGTAGAGTCCTTTAAAGGAAAAAAAAGAGCATTAAAACTCAGCAATAGATGCAGTATCATTTGATAAGCACCTAGCACATACATCAAAAAAGAAAATCCATGAAGCTCAAGACACTGAAGACAATACGTAAAAAGAGCAATTAGCTTCATTTTATAATAAAAATAACCTGTTTGGTATTTTCCTTTATACTACCTGTAGGAGGTAATTTATTTTATTTGAATTCAGTAAAGAATAGCAACTGAAAGTGCTTTCCATCTATAAAGCTAAATATAAATCTGTAAATCCGTAAGTAGCAAATCCTCTTCTATTAATTCTCTTATTTGGACAAGATACCCAAGAAAAGCACGGGTTCTAAACTTGGGACAACTGCTGGGTAAAGGGGAAGAGAATTAGTGTCACAGAAATTCCCTTTCATTATAGCTCCTCCTTGATTATCTCCCCATTTCTGGTTTTCTTCTTTCAACAGGAAATTTATGTTCAAGCTTCCGCCACAGTGCTGAGCTGACATACACAGGACCAATACACTTCTACCTTATATATCCCTTTTTACTTTAATTAAATGTAATTTGAATTAGAATTAAAGTATTATTCAAAAAAACTAAATAGACATATTAGAGCCATTCAGCATATGCAAGAAGGTTTGTACCTCACACATGTTCAAAAGATTATGGCAAACTTAAATAGTAAATATAGTATTAAATGATTATCACGTGTCCATTAAATTTAAACATCAGTATAGGACAGAAACAACTGGGGGTTTTTATTTACCAACCCACACAACCCTGTTTTTCTTCAGTCGCTACAAAATAGCTAGTTTTACAGTTCTGAAGAACACTATGAGGAAAAAAGTTGATTGCATACTTGTAAATATTACTCTCTAATTTCACTTCAAAATATCTCACAAACTTTATTTTTCCCTTGAGTTATTCTTTAGTTTTATTTTACAAATTATTATAGGTTTTGTCCATTTAATGTTATTAGAACAGAGCTTCTTCCAAACAAAAACATTATTACTTTTTAAAGAAACACATTATTCATCATTTTCTAGCTTATAATAAAGCATCTCTCCATAGTATGGTCAGATAACTGTTTAAGCACATACAGTTACAAAATCATTTCCCCAACTAGAACATCTACCAAATCACATGCTTGAACTGATATGAACTGTGAGAATGACAATTTTAAGAATACACATTTAAAAACAGATTAAAGCACCTGAAGTACAGACTCTTCCACTCTACCTCTACGCAAACTTTACAACAGCAGAGCTCCAGATCCACAGACCAAGTTTCACTGCTAAATTTGTGCAAGCAGAGAGGAATGGGGCTCTGCAGCATGGATTCAGTTATCTACAATAAAATATATTTGCAAGATACGCCTCTCTGAATACAGTGAAGCTTTCATTAGCAGGATGTAGCACATAAAATTCCTATCCCAAGCCTCTTTGGTAGTTATGAAGGCAGGTTCTTCTTCCTCAGTCTCTTCAGAAATTATACAAAGGTCACCCTGGCCTATCTGCAGATAGGATAAAGGACTGGCAACATTTAGACTTCTAAGGTACTTTTTCAAGCCAAAAAAATATTTTTATTGTAGCATCCAAAGAGCCAACTGGGCACGGAGAGATGCTCATGCAAGAGAACTACCCCACATCCAAAACACATTCAAATATTTCATATTAAGAGTATCTCATAAGCAGTTACAGGTTATTCATTTCAGTTACACCATTCTCTTTGCTTAGTTGCCTTTACAGCACAAAAGTGTTAAAGACTACTTTTTCCCTTATTTTTTTTTAAATAACTTGCCAAAGGAAGTTTAAGAGTACAGTTCAGCTACAGAGGAGACAGAACAATATTAATTCTTATAAGCAAATAGAAAAGTGGAGCTTCCTCTAGAAAAATGGGGAAAAATAAACAACAACAACAAAACCCACACTGCTGTCCTCAGTATCTTTCCAGCCTCTTGCCTCTGGATCTGGGTTAGGTGATGACACTAGTTGATACAGTTAAAGTAGGAACATTTTCATAAAGATAACAAAAATTTCTGTCCTGATATTTTCTTGTATAACATGCACTTTAAGCAATGACTTTCATTTTTTCTAAGAGAAAGGTCCAATATAATAATCTACTTTAAAAAAAGTAAACCATGATTTGAAAGTGCCTTATATGTAAGAACATAACTACACAAAGTCATTTAGAACTAACATAACTGGAAAAAAAATGCTTTATGCCCCAATCAAACAGAAGCTTATGAAGTCTGAGAACTGTTTCCTGAGAAGTTAAACTGTAAAGAGACTAGAGAATCCAAGTTTCAATGTTCCAAGGAAGGGTGTTAGGAAATTTGTATCCACACACATGCCTTTTGAGCCCAGGGGCAGAAATGAAGCAGATGAGGACACTAATACTCAGACTTCCTTCCCTTTGTTAGCAACACAAGCTGATGTCAGATTTTCCACATTTCTTTCTATTCTATAACAGAAGCACATTCTATTACAGTACACTGAAGGACTGACTCTTTGGTACTCTTCTGAATTCAAAAAAGAGTTCCTATTTACTTACATATTGTTTGCCAATCTCAGGGATGTACAGCTAAGACAAGCTCGATCTCCCAAGTTACCTAAGAGGAAAAAAACATATATTTCATATGTGTACATAAATATATACATATAGCATTTACACCAAAATGCAGGCCATTCTCCTCCTAGGGAATTATACATAAATAACTGATTTTAGATGGCTGATATTTCCAATAAATGTCTGTTGCTGCATAACAGCAACCAGAGCTCCTAAAGATGCACTGTTTGTATGCGGGTGGACACCTGGATGGCTATACATCTTAATCATCCAACCCTGGATGCTTTAGTAATAACAATGTACCAGTTACTTAAGCACAAATACCTCATCCTAGTCCAATGCAAGTCAAAGCAATGCCACGCTCTAACTTCTCCCAATCTGTAATCCTTTGCCTTGCAGCATAAAAACAAAGAGGAGGATGGGAAGCAATTTGATAACATGGGCAACAACTCTAAGAAGTCCATATAGTACTGAGGGCACAGTGACACTTTGTGTATCTGCAAGGGACTGCCTGAACTTGCTTAATTGCCTGAACCACAGTTGCTGAGTCTCTGAGAGACTGAAAAGAGTCTCTGAAAAACTGCACTGAAAGCAATGTCATTTCTGAAGAGTTCCATGACAAAGATTAGGGGATCTAAAAGCAGCCCCAGCCAGGTGTCTAGGATGGAGATGTTCTTTAGCAGGACAACAGAGAAAGCTTCAGTAGAAATACAAAAACATGTCACTAGGGAGGTGGAACCAAAATGATATTCTAAGTGCATTGCTGTGCACTTGGATTATCACCAGATAAAAATAGTCATACTCTATATCTTTCTGCAAAGGATACAATCTTAAAGAGCAAGGGACTGATGCAACGAATAAAAACATTGGGCTTTCTCAGCAAGCAGGACGTGCCACCAAATGAGTTCTGTCCAAAACAGTAACTCAGACTCAAGTTACAGTAATATCCAGGATTAGGACTAGAGTCCACAAAGAAAACTCAGAGTTATATGGACACCTTCGTTCAGTCGGAGACTGAAGCAGCATCCATTCAGGTAATACACTGAGGAGATGATCAAATGATAAATTCTCTAACTGGGATCACAAATCCCAGGAAAGGGGCAAGTTTAAAAGAAATACAAATTTAAGTACAACACAACCAAGGCATCACCAGCTACATAAAAGCCCACCTAATCACTTAATGCAATACACAGTTGCTGTAAATCATCCCAAATCCACTAGAAAGAACCACTAAACTCCCTAAAGCAACTGAAAAGACCTTGCATTGATCTCTAATTGTTAAGACTCAGCAGCTGGCCAATACCAAATGCAAAAAGAAAAGATTCCTGTACAAGCTTACAAGCTTGAGCTCAAGCTTCCTCTTGAGCTGAGGAAAACCCTATGACCAAGAGTTCTATGTTCTTCTTTGTCAACTTTCTTAAAATTTGCTGCAACTATAACAAAAACAGCAGGCTGAAGAAGACATAATGTCATTTGTTTCTCCCACTCAAACCTACTACTTCTGGTCAATCCCAACCTCAAGGTACTGGCCAGTTTTTCCCCTCATCAAAGCTAGAGTATAAGATAGGACAGAAATACGTTTCAGAGAAAATGCTTCACCAAAACCTTTTGGGCAAAAACCTTGCACAGCAAAATAACCTACAAGAGCAAAAGAGATGCCTCCAAAATCACAAGGAGACGATCAGAAGGTATTCTGGAGAGGAGAGGAAAAAGATGTTGGACTATCAAAGATAGACTTCCTTAATGATTATCAAATAAAATGAACAAGATTTTTCTACCTCAAGGTACACCAAACTTTAACAAGTGCTCGCTATCACTGCAAGTAAGAGCTGCACAAAAATAAATAAATAAATGTATTCATGTATGTATGTGTGTACATATGTGTACTTCTGCTGGGTCTCAGACAAATCCTGGAAAATCTACGAAGGTATCCTCCAATATTCACAGAAAGGTTAGTGCCTGATCCTTGACTTGATTCAAGCCACCTCCAAAGGAGGTCTGTTGCTCCAGGGCAGTACTCATGAGTTGTAGCACTACAACCTGTTTTTCTACCTCTGCACCAAGCCTTACACAAAGCCTAACTTGCATGAAAGATTCCAGTGCCAAAAATGCAAGTTTTGCTGGTGGAGCACATTCCCTGCTATGGATAGGTGCTCCTGGAGGATCAGGAAGAGGTAAAAGCTGTCATGGACTTCCTTAAATGAATGTCCATAGCAGCAAGAGACTTTCTCTTTGCTTATCTTTATTTGTTCTACCAGCAGGAGTCATTAATGCTGAAGAAGGTGCCGAAGAAGAGAACTCCACAGACACCATAATGAAGAAAACACATTGACTCAGACAGACCTTGTCATACAGCCTGAAGCGTGAACAGGCATACACAGATTTTGTTGAAGTTTCTAGAGAATAACTGCTAATTTCACCTTTGTTAGTCCCAAAGACAAGTACTCTATGCTTCACAGGTTTAAGGTTATATCCGTGTAATAAAAGCAAAGCAATCTTAAACCATATTGTTCCTTCAGAAAAAAAATGAAGGAAAGTTCACAGTCTGAACAAGCAAATACACCTTACCATACTCAACATTGTCCATTTAAGAAATTCACATTAGGGTTATTCACTTGTTTCAGAAGAAAGGCAATAATGCCAGAAAAGCTATGTGCAAATATATGCCTCGCGGAAAGCAAGTCATGAGACTCTATTTTTAAATATGTTAGAGTAATCAAAATTTTCAAACATAAAATAATTGTGTACTGTAACTATTTTTGAAGTTCTTAAAAAATAAAGGGCCAGGATGAAACAAGTCCCTAGGGGAGTATTTGCAGTACTTAATAGCTTGATCTTTACTGGAAGAACATTTAGGATTCTTAGAAGCACTTAGTGTTAACTTAATCTTAGACTACTTACATTTAAAGCAAAGAAGATGAGCTAAGTAAAACGTTATTTAATGGTACAAATTCTTGTGTCAAGGTTTAATAATAGATGCATATTCTAATAAAAAAACCCACCAACTATACCATAAGCATAGTGTATTACTGCAGACAAGTGATTTGATTTTATCACAGTGTTTCATAGAATGTTTCACAGAATTTATTGCAGCAAATAAAAATTTTAATTTAGGGCAAAATTAACAAAATGCAAAAATGTAGCAATTATTAGCGCTTCTTCTTGTGCCTTGCCACACAGAGAATCAAAGTTCCCATTTAAGGCACATTAACGTATTTCTTTGCTATTTTAGTAAGCTGGATAGCTAAGACCTGCCAATTTTTGTTCAGGCACCAGCAAAGCCTAAAATAACGATCTTGACATGAGTGGCAGGAAAAACAACACCCGGAGGAAACCACTACAATTGAGGGATTATGTGTAACCAAGTGGCCAGTGTAGCTATCAAAGCCAACAAACTCCCATTTGGCAGACGGGCTGTGCGGATTCCCTCTATCAAGGCCAACAACTACCCATTTGGCAGATGGGTTGTGGCGATACCCTCTCCTCCTGATGGTGCTTGGGTGACACGAACCAAAGCCGAGGGTCGGTACCAAAGCGCGGCCCCAAAGGCCCCGCTAAGGCCCGGCTGGAGCCCGCGCCGCTGCCGGGATCGCAGACGGGAAAAGCAGCCAGAGGCCTCCCCTCCGTCACGTGCCGCCAGCTCCCCCGTGTCCCCAAATGCCACTGCCCCGACACACGCGCACGGCCCGGTTAGCTCTGCTACGGATGGCAACGCCGCGGGGACACCGCGTTTCCTTCCGCCTTTCCCGTTCGCTTCCCGAGCGCGCGCCACCATCAAGAAGCCAAACGCCGGTTTCCGTCGCGAAAACGGAGGGGTGAGTAAAGAAGCCTCTTCTGGGCGATACAGGCGCGGCGGGGCTGGCGCGGGCCTCCCCTCCCGCCAGGCCCAGCCCGGTGCCCTTTCCCCGTGCCTGCCCACCCGCTTCCCGCCCGCATGGAGACCCCCGGGCGGCGGCCCCGGCGGGCCTCGCCTCTCACCGGGCTGCGGCGGGCGGCTCAGCGGGCGCGGCGGGCGGCACAGCCGCCGGCCGCAGCTCCGCAGCAGCATGGACGCCATCTTGGCGGCGGTTGCGGCGGTTACGACGGGCTAACGGCGGTAACGGCAGCTGGCGGCCGCGTCATGTCCCGGCGCGCGGGCCCCACGCGGCGCTCCCCGGGCACCCACAAGCGCCGGGCCACCCGCCGCCTTTGCATAGCGCCGCCCCGCGCGCGGGGCACGCCGGGAGTTGTAGTCCTCGCGGGCGAAACAGCGAGGCGCCGCGGCCGGGCGCGCAGGGCACGCCGGGATCTGTAGTCCTCGGTGGCATCCGGCGGCGGGCGGGGCGCGGGGCATGCTGGGAGGCGTAGTCTTGCCTGAGGGGCGGCGGCCGTTTAACTGTTTCGCCTCTGCGGACTGGGGAGGGGAAAACAGAACACCCCCCCCCTCAAAAAAAAAAAAAAAAAAAAAAAAAAAAAAAACCAACACCCCACCCAAAACAACAAGAAAAAACGGTGGTTCCGAGCTGTTGGGGCTTTCCATGCTGGCAGACCTGAGTGCAGCACACACCAGCGAGTAGCTTCAGCTCGCAGCCTGATAATCCCCAGCGCTGCTGAGGGCGGCAAAGCCACTTGCAAAGGGAAGGTCAAGGAGAGCCTCTCCCCTGACAAATCTCCTTTCCAGAGCCAACCGTGCAGTTGCTCTTCATAAAGCCACACTGAGAAATTAAGGCCAGTGTGGCCAACGAGTTCCTCAAGGACTGTACGGACTGTAATCACTAACAAGACCTGCATGCAGTCATGTTCTGTCAGTGGCAGCTGGTTACAGGCAGATTTGGGGCCAAACATCTGGTGTATTTGCTAAAAGTTGTTGCTTAGCAGCTCCAGAGAGTGGGGTCTGTTTTCTGCATGCATGCCTACTGTCTTCTTTCCCAGGATGTGGCAGAAAAAAAAAAAAACACCTTTGTCATGGAGTTTTGCTGTTATTTTTGATATAAAATCATAAATTATTCAACCTGCAGCATATCCTTTGGTAGTGCTGGTTAATAGTATGCCTACCAGTCACATGTTATTCTTTAGATACCACCCTGCTCCTGATCATTATTACGATCTTTTATCAAATATGTTAATTGCTCAGTTCATACAGCATTTAACACTACAATTTGTTTTACTTAGCTTTTAATCATGTAGGCAGACATGGGGAATAACCAGAGTCGAAATCTGCAAAAAAAATAGTATATCCTGTGAACAGGGACTTTTTTTTCCCCTTCAAATATGTGTAAGAGATTTGGGTGACGACAAATGCCTTCCTTCCCCTAAAAAAAAGTAAAAATGGGAGAAAAGCTGCTGCAAATATTTTTCGACAAGATGGCTGCCACCCACTTTCAACAAGATGGCTGCCTCAAGAACAGGAGAGGTTGCTTAAAACCACAATTAAATATCCCGTGCCTTCAGACTGCTTAAATGTCACAGCTTATTTATAATATCAGGCATTTAATCACCTATACACCCACCAAAGTCCCCAAGCAAACAGGTCATGGTTTTTGGCTGTAAAGGGTCGCAGAATCTTCAGAACTGATCCAAAGGATGAACGACTGAAACAGCATCCTATAGAGCAGGGGAAAGCACACTTGTTTCTTAAGTCATTCTTTCCTGCTTGGGAGTTGGCAAATGCAGGAATTAATTACTAATCTTTGTAAATTCTTTTATGTATTCAAAAAAAAAAACCTTAGGTTTCTCCTAAGGAGATAAGATAGGATAAATTTATGCTTTTATTTTTCATTCAAAAGAATACATGAAGGTGGAGTATTCAACTGACCAATTCTCAATAAAATTCAGTTATACTTTTTTCCCCTCACTTATAACTTTAGATAACCATGGCTACAAAAATACTACTGCTTTTTAAATACAGTGTTTATAATAATTTAATTGATACTATTTACTTATTAGAGCTTATTCTAGGATATTAAGCTCCCAAATATATTACAAAATTTTACACAGCTCTGTTTGTAGTGTTTAAATATATAATACATTTAAATGGTTAAAACTGTTTAAAACATGTTGTTTAACAGTTGTCTTTATGTTAATGTGGCCATCTTAAAAAAAAAAAAAAAAAAAAGGCATCTTCCCAATCTACACATAACAATAACTTCTCTTGTTATTCTTTTTCTCTTTATGGTTGGCTGAGAACTAAACCAAATGAAATGGGGCAACTAATGGCAGATCCTTGAACAAAGCTGCTTAATTATGTAGAAACATTATATGAAGTCTATACAACACGAATAATGTGCTGTGAAGTCATTAAACTAGTGACAAGAGATATCAGACAGCAAGGAGATGATTACAGAGGACTCACTACATTTAAGCATGCAAGTAAGCAGGCTTTGAATAGTTTCATTAATTTCAGCCGCATTCAGCATTCAGGGTGCCAGACAATGTACACACATGAGCCTTTGCAAGGCTGCATCAGTTATGTTTTTGTACACCCTTTTGTTCCAGGTTTGTTTATTTCTGAAAGTTACAGCTCTCTGCTGTGAAAGGAAACGTGCTTTCTGGGACAAGACACTGAACACATGCCCTGTTTCAAAATACTGATTTTGTACACTTACCAAATATTGTGCTATTGTAAAGAAAAGAAAAAGAAAAAAAGATGAATAATAATTTTAAAATGCTTATATGAAGCCCAGTGACAGTAGGTTATATGTAAGTTTTCCTTGCAGGTCAGTTTTTGCTTTGAAGAAATATATCTTAAAATCTGCTCAGACCAATAGTTCACACAGAAAAAAAAATGTCCTAAGAAATTATGATATGCAGAATTCCTAGAGTTTGATTGGGAAACAAAGCAAAACAGAAGCAATAATCCGAAAAGATCCTTGTAGCCCTGTGATTTCTGGTTCTTAAAGCGACCATCTTGTTTGAAAGGTGGTCAGCCATCTTGTCGAAAATGATGTGCTCTGCAGCAGGAATAGGCTGGGAATCCAAAGGAAGAAATACAAGCCCCTTTTTCCAGCCACGTTCAGTACAGATGTGAGAATGATGAAAATTAACACAGTCTTTAAACAAAATCAAGGCTGTTGTTTCATATTAGATGTCTTTTTTTTTTCCATGGAAGGTTCTCACCATTTCTCAAGCACTTCTCGAGCACTTCCAGGATCGTTTTCCTGTTGATCTTTTTGAGGGTGGATCCTCACTGCTGCCGTCAGACATGTGGCTGTTTGCCACGCATACACAGCCTGTCTCCTGAACATGGCTCTGTAGGGATATCATCCCTGTGACACTGAGACCAGAGCCACCGCGTTCCCTGCACAGACCAGGCCATGGCTCCCCGGATGACAGTCGGAGCTGGCAGCGAGGGAGCCGGGAGGGGAGATTCAGCGGGTGGAGGGGAAGGAGGAGGCAGCTTGGGATGCAGAAAGAGGAGGAGGGAGCAGGGATGGGAGGCAGGTTTGCTGCTCTGCTGCGGCATCCCGCTCGTGTGCGGTTATGCCTCTAATCCACGGAGCGGTGCAGTGCACAGTGCTTAGAAGCAGCGTTTAGCTTTCGGCCCCTGAAATCTGTTTCCATGGCAATCCCAATGTTATATCTTTGAGTTCACTACGTGGGATTAACATCATCTTTATTCACTCCCATCCAGCGTAAGTTTGGGGAAAGATGGCTTTATTCTTGCGCTCTTACCACACAACGTGGAGGAGAAAAACGATAAGATAATTAGTAGCTCTCTAAAAAATACTCCCATTTGTCATCATTCTTTTTTCGAGGAGGAAGCTAGAACATGTTGCCTTGTAAATGTTAAAACTCAAAGGTAAAAGCTTAAGTGGGAGCTGTGTTACAGTCTTGTTCCCTGTGTATGACCCTGTCACAAGTTCAGTCCTGCCTGTAATGGGCTTAAACCCAGGGGCAGCAGCACTAAACCTATCTGCACCGGGTGCCTTTTCTAATACACATAAAAGCCATGCAGAGATCTCCGTGGCAGTAATAACGCTCAGTAAACAGTCATTCCAGCCTTAAGCATAATTACCTGTTCTGAAAAGCAATACGTTAAAGAGATTGCATCAATTTGACCCAGATTTGCCCCGCAAAGTCATTGATTAGGTCGACAGTAATTAAATTTGACATATAGGCAGACAAGGAGAACCCAGCTGGGGGAGTTCAAACAGATAAGGTATAAAATGTTCCCAACTCAGGACCAAGTAGTGTTTGTGGTTCACAGGGAAAATAAAAGCGTAGAGATGCTGGTTTTAACCAGCAGATGGAGCTTACGTGAAGGAAACGGGAGGAAAAGCTGCATAATCTCTGCACAAAGCAGTCTTTTTGGGCGCCACTGTGCACCGGACTGGAGGAGGACGGGGAAAAAGCTAGAAGGTTCTCGCCAAGGTAGGACAGAAAAGAGGAGGGAGGGCTGGCAGTGTCCAGGCTAAACACAGAGCGAGAAAGGAAGAACGTAGCTATAATAATAAACTGGTTGAGACCCTGAAAAATCTAGGGGGAAAAAAAAGGCCTTTAGGGTTAAAAATGCACCTGTTAATTCCAGATGATAAGAGGAAAGCTGATGCTGCAACTATGTTACCAATGTTGCATTTGGAATCACCTGTCATGCCTCCAAAGGTTTGATTTTATGAATGTCGCATTGTAGAAATACAAATTTTGAGTTGTCCTTTGCCTCCAGGATTTCTGGAGCTTTCAAGGTTTTCAAGTTCCTCTCTGCAGTGAAAAACACAAAAAGCCAACAGCCTCACAGCATCATCTGCCTCTTAGTTAGGTCTTTGGAGGGGAAAAAAAAAAAAAAAAAACCCACCAGATGTTGTGTTGCTGTCAATAAAGCCCTGAAATCTGCCACCTCTGCTCCCATAAACCCACCATGAAACAAGGCAAGAAAAGCATGGAGCTACAAGAACACCCCCCTCCGTCGGGATTTGGTAGACCTGATCCTGCCCTCAGATACCTCAAAATTCCCATTGAATCAGCCCGTATCCCCGGAGTGCAGGAAAACAAGGAGTGAGCCTACAGGGATGCAACCGAGCATGCCCTGATCAAAGAAACAGCCGTGGGTCCGCACACCATTTTAGGGGAATTTTTACCTCT